AGTTAGTATATTGGATTTAGCAATTTATAATTAGTAAATTATACAATTAGTAAGTAAACAAATTAATTAGTAGTTAATAGGCCAAAAGTAGTAAGTTAGTTGTTAATATATTAGATTTAGTAATTTAGTAGTTAATAAGTTATAATTTCAAGATTATCTAAAGGTAGTAATTTATATATATTATGTAAGATTTGCTTTACAAATTTATTAGTAATTTATTTAAAAACTATCTGACTTTAAATAACCTTATAATTAGTGAGCTGCTAGATAAGTTAACTAGTAGTTAATGAGTTATAATTAGCAAATTGGTAGTTAGAGTTAGTTGGTTAGGATTAGAGTTAGAGTTAGGATTAGGGTTTAAAATAATACTCTTAGATTAGATTAGTAATTGTTAGTTTCATAAATCATAAAGTTGTAAATTAGTTAGTTATTAGAATCACATGATTTTATTGTAGTTTATATATTATAAGATTATACAATTATTAGATTATATAGTATATAATATAATTTTTTTTTTTTTGGTATTAAGGTGAGGATTTGCTCATATCTTTATTAGTAGTTTTTTTAAAATTAGTAACTTTATAAAGTTACTATGTACAGAAATTTTTTTATATATAAATGCTATGGCCTAGGCCAACACTTGCAGTTAGGACTAACCGTTAAACTGCTAACTATATATAACTAACTTAAGTACAAATAAAAAGAAAACTACATTCAAGAGTGAAGCTCAGACATATTTATCTGTGACCTAAACCTACTAGAGTGGTCAAGACTCACTTAAATTTGGATAGTTAAAATATAATTAAATGAAATATTGTATTTGATCCAGAGAATAGTCTATATATTGATTTTTCTAATAGCATAACCAAGCAGTAGGCTGGTATATAATATAATATTTATTATATATTATATAATATATTATAATTATATAGTAGTGGCTACATGTAGCTGTGACAATATATAAATTTTTCTATAAAAGATTATATTATTCTGTAAAATGTATTATATTAAAAACTATTTAAGTAACCATAATTGAAAGTGTTCTAAACTAAATTTAACAATAAAAATTTTAAATAAAATAATTAAAAATATTGTTAATAATATCAAATCTAATAAACTTTGTAATTTTCTTAATGCATATATAAGCAAATTTTTGTTTACTTTACTCTTTAAAGAATATGGTCAAATTTTTTTGTAGAATTCTATTTAATATTAGAAGTAAATAGAATTAAAAAAGCCAAACAGATTTTAGAAAAAGTTGTACATATTCTTTTTGAATCTCTAAGCAATAAAAGCAAAGAAATTATTTTAAGCAATCTTAAAATTAAAAATAATAAACTTATGAAAAAGTCAGTAATCAATTATCTAAAATTTCTATAACATATAGATTATTTATTTATTTTTAAATTGTATAATGCATTTATTAAAACAGATAATATATATACAGTTTTTAATAAGCTCTTCATTAAAGTTATCTTAGAATCAACAATCTTGAAACAACTCACTATCACCTTTTCTGGTTTAGATATTCAAACATGTGAATTATTATTAATAATTCTTATTAAAAAAAGCTAAAAGTTATTCATATTGCCTTCATAATTAACTATACATTTTATGATATAGTTTTTAAGTCTATTAAGAACCTGGTTAATAAGATAATTTCAAAATTTAAAATTGACATACTTTGGATTAAGAATTATTTTATTATTGAAATTAATAATACTATTACTAAACTGAAAGTAAATAATTGATGCAAGAATTTTATTAATTATTTTTTATCTCTTGAAAAGCTTATTCTTAATGAGGTTAAATATGATGAAGATTTTTTGCTAGAACTAAAAGTTCCAAGTCTTACTGTTTACACAGAAATAGAATTAGTTACATTCTATTCTACTATAAAGAAAAATAAGAATATTAAATCAATTAAGATCAAATGAATATGTGATTATTATGTTATACAAAGTTTTTTACAATTTGAAATTAAGATAGAAGTATTTAATAATTTTATTTTAGGATTCTCTAAATTAATATTACTTTATTAAATTGTTTATCTTGATACTACAGTAAAGATTATTCACAACAATTCAAATTTGTAAGAAAAATATTAGATAATAAGAAAATTAAACAGAGTTTTAGATAATATGTTATTTCTATAAAAAATATATATTACATAAATAAATATGTTATCAGATTTTCTTTTTTAAATTCTTGTGCTGATTCTGGTTTTTATAAATAAACATCTACTTTTATCAGTTAAAGTAATAAAAAATGTCTTCTGTAAATATCAATCTCTATAAACTTTCAAGAAGTATATCATTAAAAGATGTAATTAATTTACTTTAAATAATATATAAAGAAAAATATGAAGATACTTTAAGAAGTAAAATTTTCTATTCAAGTGATTCTAGTTATCAAGAAACTCTACCAAGAAAGTTCATTCTAATAAAGATTATCTTAAACAAAATAATACTATTAAACTTAAATATTTTTATCAAAAATGCAATGATTGTTATTTTAACTAAGAATATACTAAATTCAATTGGTAATATTATACTCTATGCCCATCAAGTTGGCTCATATATATGTTGCGTATCTTGTAAATTAATTACATACTTCTGTAGATGTGTATTTCAATGTGCATTAGCATATTCAACAAGATTTAAAAATAATGATAAAGTTGAAGTCTAGTCCAAATATTTATTCTATTATAATAAGTATAATAAAGATACATTTTAAGAATACTTAGAAATGTGCCAAGATGTTATAAGCAATGATCTTAAGATTGTATTCTTGGAAGTAACTTCACATTTTGTTAAGTCAAACGCAATAATAACTACACCTAAGTTTATCAATCTTAGAAAAAAACTATGTAAGCATTGTGATAAGATTTATAATAATACAAAACCATATATCTTAAAAAAGACAAAATACTATTACAACTGAGAAGTCTGAACATATAAATGAAACTGTTTAGATATACAATGTTGATAATGTAATAAATTTGGTTATCTCAAAACAGATTGTAATTATTAATAGTTAAAATTGTAGATTAATACTCATATACTGCCAAATCAAAGTAGTTAGATTAGTCAATAGTTAACTTTAACATTGGAACTAATATTAATATATTTATTAATGATTAAGTCAAGTGCTAAAGTTAACTATTGAATAGTCTTATTAACTAAATTTGGTTTGCATTATATAGGTGTTAATCATTTTTATTTTTTATTTTATTTTATTTTTATTATTAAACTAGTCTTTTGAGAACTAAAGCTTTTTTATTCAATATTGTAGAACATGATAACTCATGGTCTGATTACCTCAGTTGAGCTACCTTACATTAGAGAATACATCTAGCTACATGTACACTTTTGGTGTTTAATTTAAGTAGTCCTTCTATATATAGGTTCTACACTAGTTGCCATATCTGTAACCCAACTATGAGTGTTGTCTATTTAAACTCTCTATATTGCAATCCTTACTGTTATCACTAGAACATCTTCATTACATGATGTCAGTCAAGAAGTTCTAGATACTTACCTATACTCTTAGAACTCCTGTCTTATTTCATGCTGATTATCCTCAAGACATTGTTACTAAAGCCTTTTGTATCTCAAATAACAGCTAAATCTAGTTTACAACCCTTGTGAAGTTCATACAACCCCAGTACTCTTCTTTTACAACTTCACTGTTACCTCATCTACCCTTGCAAGTCCTCTTATACTACCAATTCAGTTAGCTCTACATGATGCAACTTCATGCTCAGATCAACCAGTGGCCAGGTTGGTAAACTCTTTACCTAGAGGTTCTTGCCCATACAGATCACCTGCTCTTGGTTTTCTTTAGCAGATCAAGATCTTCACAGGTGGCACCATCAAAAGTTGTAAAACCTCTCTACTCAGGATTTCCAAGCAGGCTTCTAATCCAAGTATATACTTTCTGGATTTATTTGTATGACATTGCACACTTCCAAAGTTAGTCTTAGTATAACCAAAATTACAAGATTTACAAACTACAATTATGGATAAGTTTGTCAAAATAGGTCTATTTTTTCAAAATCTCTTGTCAATAGGAATTGAACATTGGACCTACTGCTTAGAGAATGACAATCCAACCACTACACTAGGATTGCCATTCTCTATTTTTATTTTTTATTTAATTGTATCTTTAACAAATTTATATATAATAAAATAACTATAAATAACTAAGTAAAAGTGTTTGAAAATTAATTATGCCAATGTTCAAATTACAAAAACATTTAGTTGTATTCTACTTTGATAAAAAAACTTGCAAAATATGTGATCATAAGATTAAATGTAGTAGTGATATCATTTCTATAAAGAAACATTTTATCAATAAGCATAATAATAAATGACTTAGTATTCATAAACATAAATTTATCAGAAGTAGAACTTCAAATAAGAAACATCTAGTAAAGAAAAATTTTCATGAAAAGAAATGCATTGTATGCAATTATGAATTTCAAGTTAATCCAAAACTTTTGACTATGAAGAAACACTTTGTAGATAGCTATAAAACAGAGTAAAATACATTTGTTAAGATAAAAAAGTTTATGATTAAATTAATACAAAGAAGAACTCAAACTTAAGTTGTTAAGAAACCAATTAAGAGTTCTATTGTTCAAATTAAAAAAAAAACAAAAGAGTTAAAACCTAAATCTAAGAATACTATTTTGCAAAAGAAATGCAAAGTAGTTAAAAAGATTCTCAAAAAATCTACTATTGTTAAAGAACAGAAATTACTCTTATTTGGACATGATATCCTAATTGTAAATTACTATTTTAACTAATCTAATATGCTAAATATGTATCAACATAAAACATGTTATAAGGTAGTTTAATCAGAATTAGTTTTCTTTTATGTAAAACTTAGATGTAAGAAAAGATTTTTAGGTAATTCAAATAAATTTGAAAATATTATATAACTCTATTATATATATAAATAAAGCAATTCTAAACTTAAGGTATTTTATAAAAAAAATGTTTGAAGCAACTTTTGCTAAAGCAGCTTTGATTAAATATTTTATCAAAGCAACAAGAGAGCTTGTTACTAATATTAACATTAAATTTACAGAATTTGGCATTAACTTTACAAGCATAAATTTATCACACATATCTCTGTCCATTTTAATAAAGAAAGTTTTAAAAGATATGTTTATAACAAAGATAAAACTATTAAAATAAATCTTAATTATTTAAACAAAATACTTAGTTGTGTGAATAATAATAATACTCTTACACTTAGACTAAAAAATCTAGAATTTCTAAGTGTTTTATACAGGGGTTTTGATAATTCTATTGAAACTGAATACTAAATACAATTACTAGATATTGACCAAGAAATGATTAATATTCTATCTGCTAATTTCAGTTTTATTATTAATATGCCTTCTGATAAGTTAAAAAACATATTCTTGTATCAAATAATTATAAGCAAAACTGTAAAAATAATTATAGAGCAGAATAATAAGACAATTAAATTTATTTCTAATAGTAATTTCAATAATAAATGCAGCAATACTATAAATAAAAAAGAAAGCAATTTGGATGATAAGATCTTAATTTTTGCAGAAAATAATATAGTTAATTTATTTTCTTTAAAGATTTTATTGATGTTTATAAAAACATCTTCTTTATCACATTATATACAAATTTGGTTAAAGAATAACTTTCTGATTGTTGTTAAATATAAAAATAAACAAAACTATATTTACTACTACTTAACACCAAAAGTAGTTAAAGAATAGATATGTATTTTATTTATATTTCTAGTTAAAATAAAATCTAAACTATAACCTAAAAGATATATTTTTCAAGAGTTCAAATACTCTATTTATATTTACTAATCACATCTTTATTATCTTTTTGTACAGCTAAGATTAAATATTTTTATCTTTTTCCTTATTTCTAAACCTTTGGTTATTAGTATAATAAATCAAACTTAATATATAAAATGCAGTTGCATTTTCATTTTTTTCAACATCTAACTTCAAGTAATCAATAAATTTCTTGGTCACATTTTAATTATAATCTTTAGAAAATATCATATATCAAAACTATGCTTCAAATCTGTAATGATTATTCACATTCTCATTCTTATCAACTTTTTTAAATATGTTTTTTGCTTTAAAGATATTTATTGATGTATCAAATTCTTTAGCATTATAAACACCTTTTTAATATTTTTCATTAAGAAATATTTTCAAATTATCATATTTTGTAGAATAGTCTAAATATCTTAAATAATTAGCTATAATGCCAAGTGTTATAACTGAACCTCTAAGAGTTTTATATATTTTAATAATACTGAATAAAACAGACTTAATAGTATTATTACTATTTTTATTAAATACATTTTAAATTTTTTTGTACTTTTATATATTGAGTCTAATAACTCAAACACTTAAGTAGTAATCAAGTTTGCTAATTCATTTAGTTTAAAACTAAATATAGTTATTGTATATTATTTAATTATAAAAATAATATTTAATTTAGAATTTAAATAACAATAAAAAATACAATCATTTATTTAATAAAAAAATATAATAATATTGTTACCCTACAAAAATGACCATAACTCTTAAACTACTAAACAGAATTCAATGAAACTATCACCATTTTAATCAGCTCACTGAGACGGTTATAATGAGATATAGTTCATCTATTTCTGATTACAGGATTACAAGATCAGATTCAATAACCAAATTAATAAGAAAGCTACGATCTGATTGGTTGAATGATTACTGCACGAAAAATTATATATATAACATATATAACATTTATGCATTTTGAAGTATATATATTTCATATTATATTTAGTTTATATATATTATTTAGTTTATTTATATTATTTATTTTATTTATTTTATATATCAAACACATCTTATTTATTTTTTAATAGTAGTTGTAAAATATCTTGTATATATAAAAGACATAGGCATTATATATACTATGTAGCCAAAAAGTATAAAGCAGTCAATGTGAAGCTCAAATTTAACATCAAGTCTTTATACTCTTTTACTAATAAACTACTATTTTATACTATCCAAATTAAACAGTTATTAGTATCCTCATATACTTTTAATTGTAGCCTCTTTCATAATTGTGAATTGTCTTAAATCTTTTTTGTTAAGTTTTCTAAAATAATATGTTTTCCAACTTAGTTATAACACAATAACAAGTAAGGTTACAAAAAGTGTTTACTGTTTAAGGTTGCTCTAGTTACCTACTATCTTAAAAGAAGTAGATATAGAATAACAAATTGGTGGTAACTGTGAGATTACTTACTCTATTTCATACAAAAATTGAAAAACAAGAAAGAAAGCTTTAGCTTCATAAAATGTTTGCCACTAAGTAAAGTTAATCAATTTTGATCTGTTTGAGCTGAAATTTACAGATATACTTTTTAAAGAATTCTACATCTTTTTTACTAAGCTTATCTTAGAATAAAAACCTTACTGGAATTCATAATCATACTGACAGTGTTTTTTCTCTTCAGAAAAATGATCTGCAAGACTATTGGTCACATGATCTACATTATGAAACCAAAATGAAAATCAAATATTGAGACCACAAACCCAAAATTGGACTAATGCTTAATGCCTAAAAGATGTATTACAACTGCACAAATACCTAAACATATTGAAAATACTCTTGCTTGGAAAGCTCTCTCTTATAAGAAGTTTCTTGAACAAGAATTAGAAAAATTAGTTAATTCTACTGAACAAGAAGATGGAACTTTTGTCTTTTCTTTAAAAACCCTTGAACTAGCTGACTACTATTTTACTCAATTAAAACAAACCCAAGTTTCTAATCCTTAGAAAACATATAAATATATAATAATCTTTTATTTATTATATAAAATTTAATTTTCAAGAATACATATTAAAAATATTTATACATCAAATAGAACAATTAGCAGGATCTCCTTTAAGTTAAACAGATAACTCTTGTAATATTTGCTATTCAGTAACTACTTTTATTCTTTAAAACTTTCAAAATTTCTATTAGTAGTATTATATACAATATTCTGTTAATAACTTTTCTAACAAATCACTAGAATATTTTCAACAGATATCTTCTATCTATACTCAGTATAACCTACCTCGATTGAAAAATACTATTTTTAAATTCATTTTTAGTTTTAGATATATCTGTTCTCCTGGTAATATTATTGAAATAATCAATAGTATAGCTAGTTTAACTGTATATACTAGTTGTTTTTACAGAAACTCTTTTCCTTTAACTGATGCAGATTTTGAAAACAATCATTTTTACAATGATTTTAAAGATTATAGTGACTTTTTCAAAACCTTTTTTTTCTAATAACTTCTAACTTAGCACAATTTAGTTCTATACTATATCTTATACTCAAATCTGCTAGTCTACTTATTAATACAATGTTTACTAGTCAACAAATCTGTGACTTCCTAAAGAAAAATAAAAAAAAAGTATGTTATTAAGAATTGAACCATTTAGAGGAGATGGAACTCAAGACTCTCTTGCTTTGATTGAAGATTTTAATAAAGCTTTCAAAGCAAACAAATAGAATTTAGCTAGAAAAAAAGATATTCTTGCTGCCTTTTTAAGAGATAATGCTAATAATTGGACTACTACTATTTTCAATTATGCTAATAGAAAAACAACTTGGAATAATGTAGAAACAGCTTTTACAAATACCTTCTGCACTCAATGATGACAAAATAAATAGCTTAGAGACTTGAATACCTTAAAACAAGAATCAGAAAAACCTGTAGACTCTTACTACAGTAGATTTAAAAGATTAATCAAATAAGTTAATACTAGAACTCCACTTTAAGATGCACAAAAATTATACTATTTCAAGAAAGGATTATGTTCAGCAACTATACCTATTTTTCTTACTCATAACTCTGCAGACTTAAATGAACTTCTTTAACTTGTTAGTACTCATGAACAAGAAACTAACTTCGCTACTAATGCTGACTCTGGCTTAACTAATCCTAATATTGCAGTATATGAAAAGAAAATAGAACAACTGACCAAACAAATAAACCAGATGTCATTAAACTATACATCTATTGCATCTGCTTTAAGTGCTCAAACTGAGCCACAAACTCAATATCATCCAAACCAATCCAAACAATTTTATCAAAAACCAAAACCTGTAATAATTTGAGGCCTAATAACTATTCAAAATTTACTAATAATTTAAGGTCTAATATAATTTGTTATTAATGTAGTGAATATGAACACATCACTAAAGACTGTATAGCAGAATGATTATCTACCAAAGAACAACATTATCAGATGAATGCAAAACTACAAACAAATAGAAAAATTAATTATGCTGCTATAAAAAAAGAAGAATATTATTCAGATAAAGAAGAAGTTTATATTACTTGCACTCCTCATCCTAAACCTTATAGTACTAATCAAAAAATACAAAAAGAAGCCCAAAGAAAAACTTAAAAGAAATCAGAATCTCAAAAGAAGATTAGATTAAGAAACAGAACTGTATTTTCTAATAAACCTAAATTGGAGAACATGTTTGATGAACTAATTAAAGTTCTTAAACCTTCCAAAACTACTAAAAAAAGAAATCAAAAACTTCCTTCTGTAATTGACCAATTGGAACCTTATGATATTTTCAAAGACCTCTTGAATAGACAAGCTTAAGCTACCTATGGACAATTATTGCAATATTCTAACCAACATAAAAACCTTGACCAAACTATGAAGAGAGGCAATACTTCTATTACAGAAGCAAACCATGTAGAATTAGGACCAAACAAAATACAGTAGCAATGAGATGCCATCTAAACATTAAAGAACAGCCAGTAGTAGCAATCCTTGATTCTGATACTGCTATTAGCATAATTACAGCTAAATTAATAAAAAAATCTTGGACTAAAGATCAACCAAAAAGCAAAAAGTATTGTCATTACTGCTAATAGAACTAAAAAAAAAGCAGTAGGTTTTATTACTAATATGAAAATCATTCTCCAAAACATCATGATTTCTATTGATTTACAAATAATTGAGTCAAAAGATGAGACACTTTTGTTAGGAACTGATTGGTTCAACAAGTCTAGAGCAAATTTGAATTTTGATAATTATACTCTAAAAATTAGATACTTGGAAAAAAGAGCTACTATCTATACAACCTATGTAATAGAGAGCCAGTACCTGAAGAATTTGAAGAATTTACTGATAAAGACAAATGGATTGATAGAATTGAACAAGATAATGAAATGGAAACTTATTATACTAAAGAAGGAGAACAAGAGAATGAAAATTTATTCTATAACCTCTGGATTGAAGTTATTACTGAAATGAACCCAGCAGCCTATGTTGCCTTTATTGCTAAAATTAAAGCTCAACCTTCTACTATGCAAGTCAACACCTCTTTTACTAATTTTGAGAAAAAGATTGCAGAGAAAATTTTTCTTAATAACTATTATATTTTTGCAGAAAACATATCTAAGGAAGAACAAACCTTAGAACTAAGGCAAACTAATGAAGTTTGTCATAAAATTTATACTCCAGATGCTCATTCAATTAAACAAAGACCTATAGAGCTTCTCCAGATGATCAAGAATTTCTGAAAAAAGAAATTGAAAAAATGAGAAAAAAAGGAATTATTAGAGAATCATGTAGTTTATGGCTCTTTCTTATAGTTATTAAATAGCAAAAAGAGACTCTGCATTGACTATCGCAAACTAAATGCAGTCACAGAAAAAAATATCTATCCACTTTCTGATAATAATAAAATCTTATCTGTCTTTGAAGGAATCTAATAATTTACTAGCTTAGATCTGACTAGCAGATATTGGCAAGTAGCTGTAAATGTAGCTGATAAAAAGAAAACTGTCTTTATTACTAGACAAGGCACTTATGAATTTAATGTAATGCCTTTTGGATTATGCAATGCATCTGTTACTTTCCAAAGATTAATGGATAAGATTTTACAACCATTTATCAACAAGTTTGTTGTAGTATATTTGGATGATATTATTATTTACTTAAAAACATTTGAAAAACATTGTCAACATTTGCAAACTGTATTTAAAGCTTTAGAAGGAGCTAACCTGAAACTAAATACAGAAAAATGTTTCTTTTTCTTGAATAAATTAAAATTTTTAGAACATATTGTCAGAAAGAATGAAATAAAACCTGATAAAAAAAAGATTGCTAAAGTAAAAAGCTTTCTAACACCTACTAATGTATGACAAATTAGAGAATTCTTAGGACTTGCTTCCTATTACAGAAAGTTTATAAAAGAATTTTCAAAAATTGCCAAACCTTTAAATCTTTTATTACAAAAAGACCAACCTTATCAATAGTGTGATGAACAAAAAGAAGCTTTTTAGATCCTTAAAGATCATCTTATCCCTGCACCAATCCTACAGTATCCTGACTTCCATCAGCCATTCTACATTCATACTAATGCCTCACAATTTGGCTTAGAAAATGTATTAGCTTAAATAGACAAAGATAAAAAAAGAACATGTTATAGTATATGCTAGCAAAAGTCTCTAAAAGCAGAACAAAACTATTCTGCTACAAATTAGAATGTTTAGCTATAGTATGGGCATTTGAGCATTTTATCAATACTTAGAAGGAAACCACTTCTATGTAATTACTGATCATACAGTCTTAAATGGCTTAGAACTATGAAATTAACTGAAAGAAAAGCCAGATGGATTATGTGTTTAGAACCTTATTAATTTTACTATAATCCATAGAGCTTAAAGAAAACACAATAATGCTTACTTATTATTAAGAATGTATGAATTAGATGAATCATCAAAAAAAGAATATGAAGTAAACTTGTTTGATTTACCTACTGAAAAAGAAGTCTTTAAAGCTGCTTTTAAAGAAAATTCTATTACTATTCTAGAAGATTGAAATGAAGAAGAAATCTTTTACCTTACTAAAGAATCTGAGAAAAATGAAAATTATCAAACTACTGAAGATTTTTATTCTATAAACAACTCTTGAAGTGATGTTGAATCTCTAAATGGAACATAAATGTCTTCAACAACAATTCAGATATAGAAAAGAAACCTAAAATACATAAAGATGTCCAAACTGCACAAGATCTGGAAATAATTAAACAAACATTATATAATAAACTATCTCCTGCCCTTCTTGATAATATGAGATCATATGAATGAATAACTTTCTTACTTGATGGAATAGAATATGATAACCAATTCTGTACATGCTATTATATTGAACATATTAGCAAGCAATTTGGTATTAAAGATAAAAACAAAGGACTTACCTAAGATTGGAAAGGTCCAGTTCCTGTGCTCAATATTGGTATGAAAATAAACTTTATAGCCC